GACGCTTAGTGGTTTGGCTTCCTTCTTTTCAAAGTCATCGAAAAGAACAAGAGCTTTGGACATCCACGTTCAAAGAAGGTTTCCAAAAGTTGCTTCGACGCGTTGGAACTACAATAAACGTTTAGTGCAAACAGTGTTTCAATACCGTGATTCTTTGATACACTTTTTTTAAGACGTTTGGGACAATAAAGAAACATGGGATGCTGAAACTGTTACTGCCGCAAGGATATTTGCATTGGTTCAAACAAAACTTTGATTTCAATTTTTTGCTCAACATTTTTGCGGAGATTTTCCCTTTTACTGACATTTTATTCGCCTTTTTCAGACAAAGTCAAATGACATTGGCTGTTGCATTAAACAAATTGATGATTTTAAAAATAAAATAAATAAAAAAAGAGATCAGTTTGAACACTTTTGGAATAAGATTCAAAACATTGGCTTAGAACCTGAAAGAAAGAGAATTAGAATTAATAATGTCGGCGACAGAGAGACCTCCTATCATCGATTATACGCCGAAATTTTTGGTAATATTTTACAATAAATGAACTCTCGATTTCAAAACTTTAATGAATTAAAATTTGTTGAATTGTGCAATTTTAATATTAGTAACTACGATTCATCAAAATTTCCATCGGAAACTTTTAATTCACTAAAATTAAATTATGGAAATTTTTTCGATATTCCAGCATTAAAGTCCCAGTTAAGTGTTGTTTATGAAACAACTGAAATTAGTGATAAAAAGACGCCCATCAATGTGTTAAATTTTCTTATACCTACTGGTTTAATTAAGTCCTTTTGTCCCAGCCACAAGTGCGTCAGTTGAGTTTTTCAGCTTTAAAGCGCATTAAAAGTTTTATACGAAATTCAACAAGTGAAGACAGACCCTCTAATTTAGCCCCAATATCCATTGAAAAACAGCTTGTTAAACAGTTATCAGAAAATCCAAAATTTTACGACGATGTTATAAACAAATTTGCAGCCATTGAGGATAGGCGAATAGATTTTAAGTATAAATAAATGTCAACTGCTGTGTCAACTGTGCGAAAAATGCTGGAAAAAATAAAAAAAACTTCAGTTAAATGTTAAACCAAGGAAGCTTTTCAATGGTAAGTTTTTTTATAGCTTCTAGTACTAAATTAGGTAATAAAGTAATAGTAACACTTCAAAAATCTCAATCTCGAATATCCGTAGTACTGCGGCGCTGTGCTTACTGGTCTGCTGTATTTTTATACAATCGCTTCCCCTTTCAAAAATGTCACCGCACGCCACTGTTTTTTACCCTGCCTGGTCGGTACTTAGTGCAATATTTCGGTCCAAAATTTAATGTAAGAATATAATTTTGGTCTAAAAGTACACCACCCACCGTTCCTAATAAGGTGAATGCATCTATAGTACAGATTCTGTATAGATGAATCCGGAAATAATAGGCAGTAATAAAATGTTATAGACCGTCAGATAGTGACCGATTTAGGTGCCTCATTTTCGCATACAAGCCTCGAAGAGGGTTGAAAAGTACATCGATGTAGAGTAGAATAAAAGAAAATTTACGAGTAGCTCTTTGGGATAACACAATTTTCCGATCCCAAAATGCACTTATGCATTCGGATCATTCAAACAAATATCTTTTTAGGACTAGTGACGATGTACATTTTCTTATATTCGATGGGCTTGTGCGGAAAAATCGGGTAAACTCTCGTTTTTTCTTTAGAAGATTACGCCCTTATTTCAACCCTTTAGCCACTTGCAACATTAAGCCTTTGGTTTTCCTAAGCCTAGTTCTATTAATTAATCATATAGTGAATACGGCTTGCGTGGAAATATGGGCAAAAAATAATTTTCCATTTTTGTTAGGGAAAATCGAATTTTCCATGTGTTATTCCCAGGAGCCACTCGTAAATTTCCTTTCATTCTACTTAAAATCGATGTACTTTTCAACTCCCTTCGAGGCTTGCTTGCGAAAATGGGGCACCTAAACCTGTCATTATCTGACGGTCTCTTAGGAGATTGCATGAAGAATACTTACAGATTTGCCACATGCAATATACTCGTATTATACTATCCACTGAAAAGTTCCTCCTGTCCCGTAACCTCCGAAAATCTGACAAACTTTAGCGCAATGATAAATGACATCATTTTTCACACATTCTATTCCGGATTCAACTATAGTATCTATGTTTAAAACAAACAATATTTTTTTAATATTTAAACGAATCAGAGCTTCCATAGTTTTGCTAGATTGAGTATTCTAGTTGCACTTATGAGAGTTGATCCTTACGGTCCGCCCCTGACCTATTTATAATAAAAAATATTTTAACAATTAACTGTATTTTTCGATATAAACTTCCTTAATCTTATCGAACTTGTTCCAGCGATGCTACAGCATTACAAGAGCGTTATGAAAGAAATTGTTTCAAGCCTCTTCAAACCATTCATTTATGGCTGACATAACATCATTTTCACTTGAAAATGTTCTTCCATGAAAATGTTCTTTCAGTTTAGGATACAGTCTGTAGTCGCTAGGGGTCAAATATGCCGAATAGGGTGGATGTTATATCAATTGAAATCCTGCCTAATGAATAGCACTCATTGCAAAACAAGAGATATGTCTTGGTAGGACAGCGACTTTTACGTAATTTTCTTGTAGCGCATTTAGAGATTCTTTGTGCTTCTAATAGTAGCTCCATTCTATACATTACCCTTTCAGCATCCCAGAAAACTGAGAACATCATATTTCCAGCTGATGCAAACACTTTGAATTTTCGGGCAGACTCCCTATGCCAAACTTTTCTCTGCGCTTTAGTTTTAGTATCGTAATGGCAGAACCATGATTCATTCATAGCAACAATGCTGTCAATAAAATTTTCTTTGTTACGCCGATATATTTTCAAAAGATGCTCACAAATGAGTACTCTAACTCCGGTTTATTTAAGGTACCATTTGGGTAGGCGCGTCAAGAGACAAGCGACCACTGATGCGACCCCAAGGTCGAGTAGGACGACAGATGCATAAATATTACGCTTGGTGCATTTCGCAAGCTTGAGAAGTGTCGCGCGACAGTTACAGGATAACCATTCGAGGGAATGATCAGTGTTGCCAGACCTACTGTTTTCACGTAGATCCACTGTTTTTGTCTCTAGCAAATTTTGTTCTTAATTTATTAAGTTTGCCTCATTCTTCAGCAAATGGTTAAAGAATATTTTCTCTAGTACATTTTCTGCAGTAAAAGCAGCGTAATAAGCATTCACTACTCTAGGTTGGCTCCATAAAAAAAAAACATCAAGATAATCATTGTTTTTATTTAAAATGAAACAAAGAATTAATAGGGCATCATAAAAAGAACATGCATATGCCAAACACTACGATTTTGAATTATCTAATTCAGACTGATCTAAAAGAAGTAGGTACTTATTATTTTTCATTGGTTTTTTCCCGTACGTTAAGTATATATTAAAAATGTTTTTATTCTTTGTTTACTTTCTAATTTGGGTAGAAAAGTTTATTTTTCGTTTCTTATATACTTGTTTTTTTTATTTACTACACTGCAAATTATAATTATTTCCCCTTTATTAAAATCTACTGTTCAGATCTATTTTTACCCATACTGTTTCAAAATCTGGCAACGCTGCCTAGATCGAAAGAATCTAATCACCCCCAAAAAGAAGCGGTGCCGAGGACAGTGACCCCGAGTGCGACATGCAGCAAAGCTTTGCCCCGAGAAGTGTCGACAGGAAGTGTCTCGCCGTGCGAAATGTGTTTCATATAATTGTATGTATTTTAGATGTGAAGCGACACTTCTCGCGTCGGCGGTCGTATGTCGCGTCGGCGGTCGTCTGTCGCGCCTACCGAAATGGTACCTTTACATTCGTGAGACTCATTTTGAGCTTAACTTTCTCATATAGGTTCTTTTAAGAGAATGTAGTTAACTCTATAATATGATAAACCATCAGTGTCCTCGACATCAGTCTGATTTTTTTTATTATTTACTCTTCGAACCCCCCCCTATTTCGTTTGTAACGTAGTGGCACTGCAGTTTAAGACTAATGTAAATACGTTGTATCAGTATGACGTAATTTGTGTGACAAACAAAAACAAATCGTTTTAGTTTCTTTTTAATATTGTTTGCAGGTCGTTAAAAAGTAGTTTAAAGATATGTTACAAGATTATTTTTAATATAACTATTACTTCAAATGACTACAATCTTGAAAATAATATAAATTAAATGTAAATAAATACTTAACTTCTATTTTTTACTATTATTGTGATGCGAGCCATTTTCAACCAGTCCGGTTATACTCTAATCCCTTAATTTCTTCTCTGCTTTATTTGGGCCTTTTATGGTCTCCACTTTTATCAAAAATATTCAACGAACTAAGTCACCTTCGAAACTCCCTCTTTATACGTCTATGTCGGTCGAAGTAGCAGTTTAGTCTCGTGCGTAATATATTTAGAAATTAGAGCCGTATGCATAGTCGATCGCCAGCGACTCGCCAGAGATTCATTTCGGCGTATCGCCAGCGATTCGCTGGCGATCCGCCGGCGAAAGTCCAAAAAGCTGGCGACTCGCCGGAGATTGTCACCGGAATGTCATTTATATCTATTTAGAATGTATTTTAAGGCCAAACATTAATTAAAAGAAATACTAACAGTTCAAAATCATTTACTCTATAAACAACTTTGGCGGACTAAATTACGTCATCACTAATACAGCGTATAGGTCAGGGATGGAGCATAGGGAACAACCCTCACATGTACGTACTGAATTATTAATATTATCTGAACTTGTTTCTAGTTGTTTTTCAGTATAATTTATAAATTGAAGTTTTCATAGTTATATTTCTGTGGTAAATATGGTACAACAAATACCTGGATTTTTTAGTGATTTTGATGTATAACTATGCGGATCACTTTTATAAACTATTCTCTCTTGTTCTTGTATGCATATATTCCATTTTTTAGTCACCAGCTAAAATTATATTAATGAAATCTTAACGTTGTTTTAGAAACGTAAAACGCTCAGAGCTTCGACCAACACTCAAAGAAGAATCAAATCGAACGGAGTCAACGAAGCGGTCACCATTTCTGGCGTTTTCGATAAATTCCAACGGATAGGTCAATTGCACGGTCAAGAAAGAACTTGGCCGGGCGACGCTGACATCCGGCAAAGAAGAATCGACGATGTCAGCGGAGGAGGGGTACAGCCGGTACCGCGGTATTTACCATCGTATACACAAGATGTGTCGCATTTAATTGTTTAGATTATTCGAGATGAAGTCTGTCTAAAGATCAGTTTGATATTGTTGGGATATGTTTGGAAAGTTAAATTTGAAATGATTTAATTTATGACGAACTTGTGAGTGCAGGGCGAATTCTTATATGAAACGAAAATATATATTTAATGAAAAATAAGTCAGGTATTTAAACTTTAAAATGTTTTGTTTCTACATTAATATATGACAACGGTGTAAGGATGCTTCATGAGGATTTAATCCATTTCGGTAAAGTATTGGCACTCGGGAAATTACGTCCATCATTTTCTCTCAGTTAAGCAAAAAAGGTGGGGGTTTTTAGAATAGTTCTGACCACTCTCGTGAACGTTGTACAGAGTTTTCAACAATACCCGTATCCCACGATATCAGGTAAATCAAGGAATTACATGAAAATGGCAGTTCTTAGTGACATTTATGAAAACGTAAAGGAGACCCTACACGCTACGATTTATATGAGTTTTGAACTCCATCAATTCAGTACACAACTCAACGTGAAGTGCTCGATTTGACTCACATCTGGCCTCTCCTCTTTTGTCTAATGTGAAGATGAAGAGGAAATGAGCTGATTACATTTTGACTTTAGATAAGAACTGTGCGTTTTGGCCTGCAAGCTATTTCGGAGCGTGTAGGGCCTTCATTAGTGTCTGCTCAATCGTTGCAAGTTTGAAAATAACTTATTGAATCTAGATTTCAAAACTTACTTGGGGTTGTGTAAAAAAATAATCTAAAAAAATTAAAACAAAAACAAAATTGCTTTTGAAATTACTTGGGCAAATCAAAAGTAAAGGCGGTTGCAATATATTTGGTCAAGTTCACAGCAATTGGAACATATCGTGGAATTATTAGGTGAGCATCGTGACAAAGTGGAGGAGACAGTGGAAGATATCATGAGTGAGATAAGAGCAATCACAATCGAATTGGACGTAGAAATACTTGTGCCCCGATTAGCAACAAAACACTCATTCCATGCCAACTCACCAGTGTACTTCAAAATGTCTGTTTTAATACCATACCTAGATTTTTTCTGTGATTCCTTGAAGGAACGTTTCAGCGGGAACCAGGGGCCGGCCTTTGAACTATCGAATATTTACCCCACCAAAGTTAGAGCGTTAGCTGTAAACATCTGAACCTTCCGGAGCAGCAGTAGCTTACTTTTATATATTTTATATTAAAACCAAAATTAAAATTTTGGCACCGGTTCTGGACTTCATGTCCGTTATAGCTAAGACCTACTTTTTCCCAGCAATTAATAAGGCAATGATCATTTGCTTGTTACTCCTGTGCACAACTGCTTCCATTGAGAGGACGTTCAGCACCTTCAAGAGAGTAAAGACCTGGTTGAGGTCCAGAATGGCGCAAGAAAGATTAAGTGGGCTGTGCATGATGAGTCTACACAGAAAATTAGTATCGAACGACCAAAATTTCGAGAGAAAGGTTTTGAAAAAAATTCGCAGAAAAGGAAACAAGAAAGTTAAATTTATTGTAGTCTTTATTTTTGATTTTATGTACTGCATCTTCAAATCATTATTAAAATGAAACTTCTACTTGTACGTTTTGCCACTTTCTTTAAACCGGTTCCGTTTTAGCTCCTGTTTTAGATTTTTTTTTTAATCTTCTTTAATAATTATTTTTAGTAAGTAGTATTTAACCAGTTTTAAAAACTCGGTCATCTCAAATCCAGGTCCCTAAATCAAAGGTTGGTACTCATTCGCTACCCCTCCCCCTTTCCAGCCCCCATGGCAGTTACATTCTTTTAGGGCTGCTACTTTAATTTTAGGCCAAGTAATGATATCAATTTGGTCACGTGGGCATTGCGGAAGTCTCGATACCTACATTACTTAGCAGCACTGTACTAAACTGGATGGTTATATGTTATAAGCCGGCTTTTTATTTCTGGTTGTAAAAAACGGTCATTACACATGACAAAAAGGACTCCAAACTATCATTAAGTTGAATTTAATAAAGGTTAAATTTAATATTGGTGTTCCTTTTTATTTACTTCGGATAGTCCCATGTGGACTCCAAACTGTCAATCGTTTAAGTTTTGCGTTACAGTTACTGTTTCAGTTAAATGAATGATATATAACATCATCATAAATCAATGACGGAGATTTTGTAAAATAAAATGTTTAGCATTATTGGTTCCAAAATAAAATTTTTGGTTTTCTTCCTAAATTTTTTAAAAATACCAATTTATTTCAATTCTCGCCTTAAATTTTCTAGTCATTTTAATCAACAAAAATAAGGTAAGTATGTTATCTCTACAGGTAAAAAATATTTACAATTCAATATCAATTTAAGTAGCCCTCAACTTCCTTAGAAAGGATTAAAATTTCTAATCGGCAAAAAGTGTTATGCAGATTGTAAATTATTTTAGTTAAGATTTACATTTCTGATTGTATAGTCCTGTGATTGTAACACGCAGAATTGTTAGTTCTGTAATAATAGGCGATAAGCGATATTGATCAAGTGAATTTGTGCAATAAAAATTGCACAAGCGTCTAATTATACTCCTGGGAAATTAAAGTGCAATTTAACCGTGCATATGAAAACTTTAGTGTTAAATGTACATGACGCTCCTGTACATGAACATTTCAATAGTACTCTTCGGAGTATAGTTTCTAAGTCGTTAAATATGACCGGAGTTGGAGAAGCAACCATTTATAGACTTTTGAAGCAACGAAGTATTACAGTAGCACCTAAAACGTCAACTGGGAGAAAACCTATTCAAATATACAACATACAACTGATCCGAAGAACAGTGCATTCGTTTTATTTACAAAAAAAAGATACCTACTTTGGATAAACTTTTAGTAGGCAACAATGGAGACGAAACTTTGCCAAACGTTAAAATCGTTTGGGAAAAGAACGATAGAAAATCTGCGCTCATAGAGAAAGATTAAATTATTTGTTGGAAGAGGCAATATTTAAGGGAACTTAGAATATTAAGAAGAGAAGACAAACAATTTTTTATTTGGATAAAACATGGATAAATGAAGGATATTTTCTATAATAAGTTTGGCAAGATAAACAGGTTACAAATGCTCGTCAGGCATTTATAGAAGGTTTGTCTACTGGCTTAAAATTTCCAAATGGTAAAGGTCGCCGTTTAATTATCACTCATATTGGAGGAGATAAACGATTTGTTGATAGAGGCTTGTTAGAATGTATTTAAAATTCTACGAAAGACTACCATGAAGAAATGACTGTTGATGTTTTTAAGGAATATTTCAGTCAAATGATAGATTTATTATCGACCAATTCTGTAATAGTTATGGACAATGCCAGTTACCATTCAAGATTAAAGGAACCGTTACCTAACACTAAATGAAAAAACAAGAACTCTCCGATTGGCTAATAACCAAATAAATAGTGGGCGAAGAGGGATTACTCAAAAAAGAGCTATTGCAGTTATAGTTATGTAAACAACATTCACTAAAATTTAAGACGTATAGTGTAGATGAAGTAGCAAAAGAACATGGAATTAAAGTATTGCGGTTACCACCTTATCACTGTGAACTTAACCCCATTGAACTAATCTGGGCTCACATGAATGGACATGTCGCGAGAAACAATACAACATTTAAACTTCAAGATGTTCGTCAACTATTATGTGACTCCATATCAAAAATTGGCAAACGCTATAAGACATGTCATAGCAGAGTAAGAGAAATTCTGGAAACTTGATATGTTAATAGAGGAAACAATAGAACCAATTATTATTATGTGTGAAGTGAGGAAACTGATGATGACTCCTTATCGGGAGAAAACGACTTATTTATTTTGGTATGTAACTCTATATTTATGTTAATTATAAGTTTTTATGGCGGTAGTACCCGAAATAGAAACAAATGAAACATGTGTGTATATTTATTATTAAGTTTTAATGTCCTAACCTAATATCTGGTACCTATACTGTTTTTATAAAAATAAATGTGGGTACTAAATATTAACAGTTTACTATTTTTTATATTAAAGTGATTTCATGTTCCCCTTCACTGAGGAATAGAATTATTGGTTAATCTTAGGGTTTTCTCATTTACAATTTATGATATATTGTATTCAAGGATTTTCGGGGTGGTCATACTAAAAACTAGTGAAAATTCAGATAAGAAGGTATCAATATTTACTTTTTTCTGCTTTGAACAATCCCTTGCCATAAAAACTGTGCTATCATGCATTTTCAAATAAACTGTAGTTCAGTGGATAGCAATATTACCAGCTGTGTTTATTATGTGGTTATGATCTGCCCAACAGCATTTTTTAATGTTTTTTACAACACTCCTACTTCCGTAAACCAAAATTTTTCCATAAATCCCACATTCGAGTGCCTGAGTGCAAATATAATTTTTTTTTTTTCAGAGCAGTATCCGTTTCTTTAAACAATTTTGTATAAAGCAATTTTTCATCATTATATTTCGTCTCACAAGGCAATAACAAATTAAATAATATCTTATTATTATTATTATTCTTTAAAAAACACTTATATTATAGTTATTATAAAATCAAAACAAGTTAATAAACTCAAAACGTTTTTATTCACATTATTGTTATTTATTGGTTATTATCCAACAATCAGTTAAAATTACTACAATAAAAGTCAAGTAAGCCAATCATGTTCATGTTTTAGGCATTGATGATAGAGCCTTCACGACTGTCATCAATTACCAGGTGACGTTGCCACATATTAAACTAGAAATATATAGTTTTAAAAGATAAAAAATACAACTAAATCGAAATCGGTCATGAATTAAAAAAATAATATGAAGAAACCTCTATTTATAGTATCAATTTGTGAACAACAAAAACGAGACTTTCTATTTTTAATAGAAGTTGATTTAAAATCTATTCTCCTCTTCTTTTCCCAAAGATTAATACACACATTAATGGCAACAGTGACTAATTAGGTACCTATAGTTTGTCCATAGATAATTATTCGATTTTAAACCTGCCTTGAACATATTCCCTTAATTGCTTATATCCTTGCACCTAGCAAACCTACCAGAGGCGGCTTGTGGCCTAGTCTACGACAAGGCTGGCTATATACTTTATACAAATATACAGGGTGTTTCAAAAAGATTGGTAACAAATTATACTACGTATTCTTGAGTCAAAAATAGGTCGATTAAACCGTACTAACCTATATACAAAAGTGCACCCAAAAATAGTTACAGGGTGTATAAAATAAAAATTTAACGTTGCTCTTAAACCGTTTGACATTTTTTCATTAAATTTTGTATGACGTGTTGGAATGCAATGACTAACAAAATCGAGATATAGGCAATATATTTTTTTTATTTTTGTAGGATTTTGGAGGGTGTCACCGCCCCTTTCTCTACTCAACTTTTTTGTAATATACAAATATACAATTTTATTAAAAATCGAACGCTACTGAAATGCAACATCTATTTGGAAACTTTTTTGTCTCTTAGTATTTGTTTGTAAAATGTTTGGTTTAGACGATACAGCCCCTTAAAATGACATCTTAAAAATATTCAATGTAAATTATACGTATGCAAAAATATCAAAATTCGATTTTCATTGTTAAAACTATGTAGTAAGTATTAACAGAAGAAGAATGTAATTTTGAACACCTGTTAAATTAAATTTTTTTATTTTGATGACATTAATTTGTAATTTAAAAATAAACTTGATTTTGATATTTTTCATACGTAGAATTTCCATTGAATATTTTTAAGTTGTCATTTCAAATGGCTGTATCGTCTAAACTAAACTTAAATTTTATACTACAAAAAAGTTAAGTGGAGAAAAGAGCGGTGATCCCCTCTAAAAACCTATAAAAATCAAGAAAAAAATATTGCCTCTTGCTCGGTTTTATTAGTCATGGTATTCTAACACGTCATATAAAATTTCATGAAAAAATGCCAAACGGTTTAAGAGCAACGTTAAAAAAATTCATTTAAATTTTTATCTTATAACTATTTTTGGGTGCACTTTTGTATATACGTAAGTACGGTTTAATCTACCTATTTTTGACCCAAGAATATGTAGTATAATTTATGACCAATCTTTTTGAAACACCCTGTATATGTCTGCTTTTTGTATTCGAATAGAGATATATATATATATATATATATTTGTATTAGTGTATATGGTCAAAAGTAGCCTCCGTAGCCTCCTCGTAGACTAGGCTACGAGCCGCCTGTAAAACTACACATTACAATCACCCGAGTCTTCAGCAATACCCGGACGCGAATTTACTTTTCCGTGTTCAGTTCAAACCGACGCGGTCTTGAAATAAACACGGAAAAGTAATGCAATATTTATAGGCAAACCCGTGTTGATATCGAGGCACCAGACAATGAACCACGCACGGATTTATTTGGGAACAAGCCATATTTGCTCACATCCAAATCCGTGTTGTTCTTAAGGACGAAATCGAAAAATCCACGTCCAATCTATAGCAATAGCTCGTAGAAAAAATAGAGACTTACCTTGCAGTGGGACGATCCAGTCAGCTAGACCCCCGAAAGCTTATGAAGGCCAAATAATAAAACGTCCCCGTTCTCATAATA